ATATATATATATATATAGGGAGCTCACCAAGGAAGCTGCTGCTCCATCGCCATCTTAGCTCCACCCACCAGGTTGAAGTACATTGCCATTAAGCCTTTAAATTAATTAATGCTTTTAAGCAATAGGTTTAACTCCTATTACAGCCATCCGAAGTTATTTAGAGCTTATTTCAAAAGCTGTGATTTCAGAATCATAGTAGCAATATAAAATAGAGTTAGTGATGCATAAAGCCCATAGTAGCAATATAAAATAGAGTTAGTGATGCATAAAGCCCATAGTAGCAATATAAAATAGAGTTAGTGATGCATAAAGCCCATAGTAGCAATATAAAATAGAGTTAGTGATGCATAAAGCCCAAGAGTATTAGAAAGTTTGTATGCCTAATGATTGTTTATACTCAATTTGTGTTCTGCCCCTTCCTTAAAAAAAATAAACAGTGTACAACAAAGGAGTTAAATTATTAAGACTACAGGTTGATTCCAATTAATCTTTAATTTTAGAAGAAAAATATTGATCTCTCTGAGTACTGCTAAGAGAACCCAAGGGAAATAGGGTTAAATTCTGTAGAGTAGGTTAGTTAACCTATAATAAGGATTGCTTTATCCCAGGTGGTGGAATTAAATTTGAACAGCTACATACCCATTTACAATTCTGATCAGGTTGGGGCATGATCTACAGGCAAAAGTCAAGTAGAGCTTGATGACTTGAATGGCATAAAAGTGCTAGGTGTTTATGAATTACCCCAAAGGTCTGAGTAGATGATACATTTCTTTAGTTTTCTCTGTGGTATTATTTATAAGATATTACATATATCCTGGTATTTAAATTAACAGACTACTAATCTGTTGAATATTTGGGGGGGGGGTTAAAATGAATCATCTTTTCAAGATTGTTAGTTAAAACCTGCTGTACCATTTATTTTGGATTTAGAATTAGATCTAAATTAGTTTTAAAAGCAGTATTACTATAAATGTAAATGAAACTTGGTGGAAAATGTTAAGAATATGGATGCTCATCTGCTAATTTTACAGAATATTTGCAGATTTTACACAAAAAAAATCTGAAACAACTGGTAAAGGTGTCTTTATAATTATTATTTCAAAAACATGACACGTAAGAAAAAGTGTGGGGAAGAGGAAAAAGCAAGCAAGCTCAAGCAGTCCATTCTTAAAGGTACATTTTAGGCCCAAATATCTACATTTAAAATAACATTGCTGTTAATCCAGTGGAATAGTAGTATTCGGTGTATGAAATGTTTTCTGAAGAGCAACTTTTCACACTTCTTTGTTGTAGCCAGGCTTTCTGGTGAGGCTTCTGGACTTGATCTTTGTTTCTCTCATGAATTTAGCTATCTTGATTGTAAACATTTTTACTCACTGTGTAAAACTTTTTACTTCACCCTCACTGTGAAGGGCCTTATGTTCCTCTGAGGGAAAAAGGAATAAGTCTGAGTATAATGTTTAGTAAAACATATTACATAGGGTTACATAAGGTTTTTGGCTCCCTATATCATCTGTTTGATGGTGATGTTGAATACATTTCCTCTTAGGTGCAAACCCTACTATGTTTAGCTTTCTAACTTAATAATACTAATTCTATGAAATACATTTCATTACAGAATGGCTTCCTATGTGCATATTATTTGATGTACAGGGTTATTACTTCCTATTTAAATCAAATACTCTTTTCATTCCTGCACATTCTTAAGTGATTTAAGGAGTATTTGAACAGCACATAGCACATAGTTAAAAACACATACTGTGCCAGGATTTTAATTTCATTTATTGTTTTATCAATACAGTAAGCATTGCTTCCTTATCATTTCTGTTTTCAGCCGTAATTTTGTTACAAAGACTCATCACAGTATGCTTTACTGGGCAGCATGATCTTCCATAAAATAAAAAGGCAACAGCCAGACTTGATTGAACCATTTTGGTTCTGTTGTTCTGTCATACATGAAACTTCCTGTTTTTTGTTTGATTTGCTTATATGAATATTATTTATGTAGGTGGCTGCTATTATAGAATGTAATTATTTTATATTTTGCTCATGAATGTTTCCAATTCTGTCAAGGATACCGACTGACTGACCAGTTCTATGATCTCCTGATTCAGAAATTTGACAGACAAAGAAGAGGGCAGGTGGCCTTTGATGACTTCATTCAGTGCTGTGTTGTACTGCAGGTAATCATAGACTGGGGAATATAGAGAGGCCAAATGAAGAGAGATGGTCAAGTTGTTTCAAATAGGCAGCATGAAAACAAGGACAGGAATGTTTGAATTCAAGCACAGCTATATGTTGTAGACCACTGAATTGGCAGTTTTGCCCAGCCCTTTCTCTGGATCCTGACTGATATTGTCATTGTCAAAATCTGTAGAAGAAATGTTCCCCTCCTAGATTATGTACAGATCATATCTGTTTCATGGTTGTTGTATGCATTTTCTAATGGAACTCAGATATTTTGTCTGTAGGCAATTTGACATTAACTTTTTGTCTTCCAGAAATGGACAGATGTCTTCAGACGCTATGATACTGATCAGGATGGTTGGATACAAGTATCTTATGAACAATATCTTTCTATGGTCTTCACTGCTGTATGATTGTAAATATTGTCTGTGATCAAGGAAAAGAATTTGCAAACTTGCATACAAGAGAAATGGATAACTTTCATTCTTCCATACAGAACAAGAGGTTTAGAAATACGTGCATTGCTTAAAGATTCTGTTATTCATTGCAAAAGGTGCTATAGCTGTAAGATTCAGCATTGTATCATGTATATTTTATTGCTGGAAGTAATGTTTAAATGCCAAACAGTAGAATTCTTATTCAAATTTGCACACTATTGTATTTGTCTTTTTAAAATAGGAAGCGCAAAACAAATTAAATTTTTATCCTATGTCTTCACAGCAGGAATGACCTTAAATGCACAGGTGTCAAGATATACACTTGTATTGTTTCTCCCACTTAGATTAGGTTTCATCTGCTTCTTCCATTTATTATTAAAAAAAAGAAAAGAAAATTAATGTTATTCTTCTTCCTGGGATTTTTAAATTCTGAGTAAGCACAGAGATTTATTACTACTAAAGCTGAATAATTCTGCTTTTTCTGTATCTTCAGGTGTAATAAAAAGGTTTACTGCCTTTCCTCTCTGACTTGGAGATATAGCTGGGTATGAATATATTGCTACAGTCATACTGTGTATAAAAATGTTTTGTAACTAAACACGTTGCAATTTTGAGCGGAGTTTTACCTTCAGCAGTTGCTTAGGATGTGCTGCTAGCCTAAATAATACTTTTCTGCACACACCTAGAACTGGGAAGGAGGGTCAAGATCCAGTCTATTTTGGAATAGTACATGGCCACACAAGGGCTGCATTTTCAACCATGCATAATTTATTATATGCCTAATTTACTAACTGCATAGCATTTCTGCAGTATGATCCTATCTTTTATATGGCAAGCAACTTGACTGCCATATATGTTGCATTTACTTCCTCTACCTTACGTCACAAAACAGAAAACTTGTGAAACAAAATTTATTCGCTGAAATTTCATTGAAGAGTATTAGTCCTGATTTACATGGCAAATGAATATCCCTAAATAGTAGAACTGATAGCCTCATTTGGAATGTACTGATATATATTTCCACTCGTGTTGACTTAGTGCCGTTAAATCA